AAAGGGAGGAGAAAGATTCCAAGAATACAATATGAATCAGGTATGGAACAGGAATTTATTTCCTAGACATCAAAAAAAAATTGCTATAAAACACAAACCACTCACAGCATGTATTGGCAGCATTAAAATGGGATTCAATAATTTAACTTACAACTAGTTACATTCTCCCTAGAGGCTGATACTTAAACCTCATCAAAGTATTAAAAAAAAGAAGTTTGGGGTATTGTTGAATAGGCATGTTGTCATTCAGTCATTTTCAGTCATGTCCAACTCTTTGCGACTTCATTTGGGGTTTTCTTGGCAAAGATATTGGAGTGGTCTGCCCTTTCCTTCTCTAGCTCATTTTACAGATGAGGAAACTGAGGCAAACAGGGTTAAGTGATTTGCCCAGGATCACACAGCCTGAGTGCCTAAGGCCAGATTTAAACTTGGAAAGATGAGCCTTCCTGACTCCAGACCTGGCACCTAGCTGCCCCTGCTGAATATGCATAGTAATATTTAACTTCAGTTCTTCACTATCCAAACAACTCACAGTCCATGTCCTCCCTGAAAATGAGGCAGGCTTGGACTTGGTGGTGGTCACAATATTCTTGGGCTGGAGCAGTAGCTGGGGATTCCTCCTTTCCCCTACTGTCCACCCTGACCGAAAGGATCCAGGGTCAGTGAACCTCCAGAACTCACAGGGCTGCCTCCAGGCTTGATCAAGGCCATCTTGGGAATCAATATTTGTTCATCTAAGATCAGGAAATAAACACAGAAGAGGCAGCCCCAAATCCAAGATCAGCTGAAGGGGGTAGGAGTCACTCCCTTTTAAATAAGCCACTAAAGGAATCAGCTCTTTATACTCAGGGACCAATGAGGGGACTGCCTCAGCTTTTCAAAGCACCTCATCCTTTCACGTATGAGCCAGAATATATAGCCAGAAGCAGTCAAGAGGTTCAAAATAGGCAAGGGGCCCAAGTACTGAGCCATCCTGTTTTGGGAGTTGCCAGAAGTTTCCAGGGGATCTGCACACTCAATGAAATGATCTTTATAAGCCAATTCAAGGTCTGTCCCCTATGCAAGAGATTAGAGCTATAGCTGATCTGATTCAAAATTTGTATTAATTGTAAGGCAGCTTCATCTCAATGACTCAGCTCAGAATTTGGTGGGTTTGGGAATGGGGCTATGATAATCAATAGGCAACTTCTAAAATATGTCATTGAAAGTGTATACAAATTTTATTTCCTCACCCCCTTCATAAATCAAAGCTTCAAATCACTTTAATATCAACTTTCTTACTCTTACATGATCTCATTAATTCTTGAATTCATATAGAAATTGACATTATTTTCCTTGGCCCCTAACAGTTCAGCAATAGAAACAGATACGGTTTTATCGGTAGAATTGACATTAAGGAAAAAGGTGTTGCGATCTGCTTTGCTTCTGTACCCTAATGACCACTGGACCTTTCCATCTGACTTGCAGCTGAAACTTTCCATGTGTGTTGCCTCCCCCTATTAGAATGTGCACTCCTTAAGAGCAGGGACCATCTTGCTTTTCTGTTTGTGTCTCCAGTGTTTTACACATAAGCACATAATGCTTTTTGCCACCCCCCCCCAAATCTTTTCTCTCAAACCCTTTCCTCTTCCAAACTTCCCTGTTATTGTCTAGGGTACCACCATCCTTCCAGGTACCCTGTCTTGCAACACTGGTGTCATCCTCAACTTCTCACCCACTGAACACATCCAATCCATTGCCAAATCTTGTAATTTACTTTCACAAAATCTCTTAAATATGGCCCCTTTTCATGGTGGTACAATGGATAGAGCACCAGCCCTGGATTCAGGAGGATCTGAGTTCAAATTCGGCCTCAACCACTTACTAGCTGTGTGACCCTGGGCAAGTCACTTAACCCCATTACCTAGCCCCACCCCCAAAAAAATATGGCCCCTTCTCTTCATTCACATAGCCACCATTCTAGGCTAGGCCCTCAACACTTCTCTCCTGGACTATTACAAGAGTCTCTTCCCACTCCAATCCATCCTCCACTCAGCTGCCAAGGTGGTTTTTACTAAAGTACAGGTCTGACCATGTTACTCCACTCATCAGTGAGCTCAAGTGGCTGCCTATTACCTCCAGAATTAAATATATACCACCCCCCTGTTCTTCATAACCTGGCCCCTTCCTAGATTTCTAGGCTTCTTATGCTTTACTCCCCTCCATGTGCTCTATAATTCGGCTACATAAGCCTACTTGCAGTTCCTAAAATATGTTTCCAACTCCCATCTGTGGGCCTTTACATGGGCTGTCCCTTCACTCCTGCTTCTCAGTTTCTTAGAGATGGGATCAAAGATACATGTATAGGGGCTGCCCTTGGCAAAAAAGAAGGGCTACCTCTTTCTCAAAGACTGGAGAAAAGGAGAAAGTTCAGATTAAGAGAAGTAGGGAAAAAGTACCTCTTGTCTAAAGACTTCAATTTTCTCAGTCAAGTAAGAGGCCCTCAGCTGAGAGAATGGGGAGAAGCTTAGGAGGAGAGGAAAAGGTTTGGAAAAGCTTCCATGGGGAGTGATAAAATGTATCAATTAAGGAGAAATAAAAGGACTGTCTTGCTGCAGTAAGGTCTCATTTGAAGTGTAATTTGAATTTTTAATGCACCCAATCATTATTTATAATAATGCACATGGTTGAATTCTCAGAATATCAAAAGAGGAAAATGGAGAAATAACATAACACATATGAAGGAATGAAAGAAAAAAGAATTTATTAAGGGCTTACTATGTATAAAGCTCTGTGATACAAATACAAGCAAGGCAGACAGGAACTTATATTCTGATGGGGAAAGACAACACAAAAAGAAGCCGGTGAGGGAGAGAGTGGGGGGAGCTCTGGAACACCATGGTCTGGAAATGACTGAGAAGTATTGGAGAGGCCTGTTTGGGTCAAGATAAGGCTAATGCCTAGCTCTCCAATGCCAGCATTTCAGGGGCAGCATTTCAGGGTTATGGTGGGAGGGATGTGAGGAGGATGCCTCTAGTGTAGAAAGCATGCTGTAAAAATGGCCTGGAAAATAACTTAAGACAATCAGAAGTGTACTTTTTGACAGATCTGGAACCAAGAAGCTTTGTGAGCTTGGTTGGGTCACTTGGTCTCTACCTGTAAAATTAGGGTGTTGGACCTTGAAGGTCCCTTCCACTCTAGTACTGACACTTGGCTCTATGTTACTGTATGATGTAGGACCTACAGAGAGCCTACTCACTGTCTTTGGGCTGCATTAGAGACCATTACCGTACTCCTCAAATCATACATTGTTAGACCTTAGAGATCACCTTCTCTAGTGATTTAGACCGACCTTTTGTTGTTTATTTGTTTAAAGGAGGAGGGGGTAGGGAAAAAAAAAGGAAATTTCAGCCCAGAGAGGAGAAATGACTTTCCCAAAGTCACATAGGTAGTTGCAAAGCCAGGGTTGCAACCTAGATCCTCTAGGACACTTCCAGCGTTTTATTTCCCCATTTTTGTTGTTCAGTTGGTCAGTGGTGTCTGACTCTACATGACTCCATGGACTTTGTCCATGAGGTTTTCTTGATAAAGATGCTGTATTGGTTTGCCATTTCGTTCTCCAGAGTGTCCCCATTTTACATATGAGGAACTGGGGCAAATGGGGGTTAAGTGACTTGTTCAAGGTCACACAGCTAATATCGGTTCACCAGATGGAGCACCGGGTCCACTCCAGTCCCTTTGCTGTATTTGTAAAAGAAACTGTGGCCCAGAATCTGGCGGCACAGTAAAGAAGAGTACTGGGCCTGGAGTCAAAAAGACCTAAGTTCAAATGAGGTTTCAGATACTTTAAATGAGGTAACACTGGTAAAACGCTATATAAATGCTAGCTATTATTAAAGTGACTTGCCGGAGGGCCACACATTTAGTTAGTGACAGAGCTAGTACTAGAACCCACTTTTCCCAAGTTCTAGTCTCAGGCTTCTGCCCCTCCCAACACCCACTGCCTCTCCTCTCTCTTGGCCCTGTCCTTCAACTCAGGTTAGCAGCTCTGTCGATTTCTGGTGCCGATTTCACCGGCTCGGGTATCCATCCCCAGGGTGGGCTACTCCGAAACACCTTATTTGCAGTTTTATAATCTTCACCCAGTAAAACTGCTGTGTGTGTGTGTGTGTGTGTGTGTGTGTGTGTGTGTGTGTGTGTGTGTGTGATACACACGACCACTCTAGGTGGAAGGGGAATGCACTACGCAGCCAAATGCATTTCCAAGTATTGAGCTTCCCCCCTCTACCCTCACCCCCCCTCCTCTCGGAGGCAGGCGCTGGGTGGGGGTTGGAGGGAGGAGGGAGGAGAGGGTGGAGGAGGAGGAGGCCGCTAGCTTTAGAGGGCGGGACAACCATAGAGTAGTAATAGTAGCAGTGGCCGCGGTGCGGTGGCTTTGCGGCTGAAATCTGTAGACCACCCCTCCTCCCTCCACTCCAGTGCCTCCTCTTTCCTGTCCTTCTCCTACCCCCAGCAGAACAACAGGAGGTTCCCCGGGCCAGCTAAGGGGCTCTTTAGGACCCGACGGCGGCAGCAGTAGCAGTAGCAGCAGCAGCAGAAGAGCTGCCCCAGCTTCCCCACCAGCTCTTCTCTCCCGCACACGCTCCCTCTCTGCCGCGCCTCTGTAGCCTGGGAAAACGGTCCTCAGCCAGCAGTCACCCAGCTTGTCCGCGGGCTCCACCGGTAAGACGTCTCCCCCAGCTTTCCTTCTCTGCACCCCCTTCCCGCTCTGGGGTTCCCCCTAGCGCTCCCGGGACGCTGGGGGTGCAAGGGTTCCCGGTTGCAGCGCGGGAGCCCGGGCCATATCTGGTCAAAATATTCAGCTGTCACCAACTGGGACTGAGCTGCTCCTCTCTATAAATAGCCGACGGTGCCTCCTCCTCCAGCTTCTGCCGCCCGGGGCTGAGAGAAGGAAGGAGCTGGAGGCTGGTGGAGCCGGGCTGGGTGGTGACCACAGATGGAGGCAGCGGTCTACTATGCCTACGCTTCGAGGGTGGTGCGCGCCAGCCTCCAGCTTTCCCACTCGCTCTGCCGAAGTTCGCCCACTCCCGCCTATAGCTTCCTCACGTAGCCTTCTCCCCGCCCTAGCACCCCTCTCTTGAAGTCCATGGGCTCCCTCCTCCAGCTTCACCACTAAGTCTCCCCGCCTAGCACCCTTCTCCTGAAATCCATGGACTCTTGCCTCCCATTTAGTTCCCCTTCCTCTGCACAACATCCTTCTCCCAAAGTCCAGAATCCCTCCTCCAGTTCCCCCACTTAACCTCCTCCCCTACGGTACCCCGCTCCCTGAAATCCACGGACTCCCTGCCCTCCTCTAGCTTCCTCACCTAGACTTCCCACCCCCAGTCCTAGCACCCCACTTCCGAAGTCCACGAACTCCGGGAAATTCCGCTTGGGGGTCTGGCGCCAGCACAGGTGTCCGAGGTACCAGCTGCGGGTGCCTGCACCCTCCTTCCTATAGCTTAGTAGTCCTTCTTGTCTCGTGATCTGGGGTAGCCCCCATTCTCGAGGTGGGGAGGAGGCAGTTGAGAAGGGAAGTTGAGTAAACGCCTAATTTAAAGGGAGTCCCTAAAGTGCATTTCACGTGGCAATAAGGGTCTGAGGAAGGTGGCGGGGGTGGGGGTGGAGACCGAGGAACCGCTGTCATCTCAGTATGGAGCAGACGTATTATCAGCTCCAGAAAAAGTTTCCAAAATAGAAGAGCAAAGGGAGAGGTTTAAGGCGCACAGCGAGTCTGCTAACAATCATTAAAGTAATTAATCTGCTAAACCCAGCCGGGAGGTCCTATGTCACTTGTCTTCCCCAAACCTCCTGCCACTCGTCCTCTTCGCTTCTCTCCCAAAAAATCTAAGAGGGGCCCCAGAGCCTGCTTCTCTTCCCTGGGAAGAACCAATGACAACTGCTTCTCCTTCCCCTCTTCAATGAGTCAGCTGGGTTGGGGTGAATAAAAATCCGCACCTGCCTATTGTCTTCATAGATCCCATCCTACGCCACAGGCTTGCTTAGCAAGCCTTGGATTTTCCGTTATTTTTCTTTTAATACTGTACTATTTAATCAAGTTCATAGGATTATAGATCCTCGAGCTGGAAAGGATATCTGAGGCCACCTAGTCCAAACTTCTTCTACTAGGAAGGAAACTGAGGCCCAGGGAGATTAAGTGAGTTGTCCAAGGTCACTCGGTTAATATGTAGGGATCTTTTTTGGACCTCAGTATTTGATTTGTGCAGGAAAAGATTATGGAGGAGCTGCTGTAGACATTACTATGGGAAAGAACATTTCCTTGAGGGAAGGTGAACTTGCAACTGACAAGCAAAGTATTTGAGATATATTTATGTTAACACCATATTGTAGAACTCTTTTGGAGTGAAAATTCAGGTCATGAGGAGCAGGATCTTGATTTTGGTTTATTGGAAGAGAAATATGAATGATTAAGTTAATTGAAAAAGAGTTATTGTTGGATTGACATGACATTTTAATGTTTCTGTCTGCACCTCTATTACAAACAGTGTCAGTTTCGATGTAGATGTTTGTACTTTGGGCCAGTTTAGTGTTTGCTTACTACACTGTAAAACCCAAAGTACTTATTTCTTACTAGGCAAACTGCTTTATAGCATCCAAAGCTTCCCTGAAGTATCAGATTAAAATTCTGGGGAGATGAAGGTTGATGGAATATGATCCAAGATTATAAGGGTGAATGTGAATTGTTCACCAAATGCAGGAATGCTACAAATAGGAAGGGCCATTAGATGGAAGTAATTTTTGGACAAATCTAAAGAAACATTATGGTAACTTAATACAGTGGGCATATTATACAATATATAGGGTTTGCATAACTTTGTAGATGAGAGATCAATGATGACTTGGTGAATGGAGATGTACAATTTTGGAATTTGCAACCCTAATTTTTCAAGGTTAATGTCATGAAAGGCAACCATGCCCTCTCACAAAAATGCCCTTTCATTTTAAGTCTAGCAAACTGGAACAGTGGTAGTAACGTAGACAAATAAGAAAGTCAGGGGTAGGAAGAAGTTTGGGGATGAGAGCAGCAAAGAAGATGGTTAATTTGGCTTTTAAACAATTTGAATTTAAGGTGATAGCTCATACAAGTGAAAATGTCCACCAGGCAGTTGGAAATATGAAACTGGAGCTGCGGAGAGAGGGCTGGCCAGAGATGTAGATTAGGGAGTCATCTGCAGAGAGGTGATAGTTGAAGCTATGACAGTGGATGAGATCTCTAAGGGAGAGAGTGTAGAGAGAAGGGAGGGCAGAGAACTAAACTCATAATCCCATTGTTGGCCTTTTTGTGAAAGCCATGTCTTCATTAAACTCCGATGTCTAATTAATTTGGCTCTCTTGATGTGTTCTGGTGTTTTGTCTGCACTTTTTAGTTTAATGATTGTCAATAACACTTTGGTAACAGGAAGAGGCTCAGAACATAATCCTGTGCTCTAGTAGCAATCAGTAGGACCTGTTTGCTGTGTTAATACGAGATACAAAATCATTTTTATCCCCATTTCAAACCCATTTCTCCCATTCTTGTTGTCTACCTTTTGTGTCTTGCATGGCAAGTTATCTAATTTCTCTTGCCTCTTCAAGATAATAGTATTTATTTGCAAATAATGGTCACTTAACAAATGTTGTTGAATTATTTATAACTTACATTGTACTAAATGGATAGAGCACCGGCCCTGGAGTCAGGAGGACCTGAGTTCAAATCCAGTCTCAGACACATAACACTCACTACCTGTGTGACTCTGGGCAAGTCACTTAACCCCAATTGCCTCACCAAAAACAAAACAAAACAAAACAAAAACTTACACTGTGCCATTCATCTACATAAGATCCAGCAGGAGGCTGGGAAGAACTACTGGGATAAGTATCATATGAGTTCATATCTCCAACCTGCTCTGGCACTGGCCCACTAGGTCCCCAGAATTGCTGCTGCTATTGCTTCCAAGGTTCTAGGGGTAAGCCTGGGGGTACCCTTTCTGCTCATGCTACAGCTCAGGAGCTTCCACCTGAGAGTTTTACCCTAACAATCAGCCAATAGATTCAGTTAGTTCTTAGTAAAGGAATTTATTCAAATGCCATAGTGAGAAAGGTAGTTTCAAAGCATTTTCCCCAAAATCTTCAGTAATACTCATTCACAAATATACACAGAGTCTGTGGGAAAGGGGGGAAGAGTGGGTCTAGACCTAAAGTACAGTGGTAGTGAGGTACAAATGAAAGGAAAAAGGCAGCTCACAACCCCAGAAGTACATAATCTTGGTATCCTTTCTTGCTCTGGAAAGTCCTCTTGAAATTCATTCAGGGCAAGGCATTTCTGATTGATTAGTTTGCTCCTCAGCTCAGCTGGGCTAGGTCCTTGCAGGACATGGTATCTCAGATGGATGGATCAACCCACAGCCAGGCTTGATCAGACAGCTCTGCTGCTGCTGGGCTAGACTAGGCTAAGCATCATAAGTAAAGATGGGGTCCTTCATCGAGGGATTAAAGAAAGGTTTCTGCCAATACTAGGCTTAAGGATTGTCGTTAGCCTAGTATTGGCAGAAGCCTTTCCTTGATCCCTCTGAGGTTTGTCACCCCTAGGCAGGTGGGAGAAGAGTCCTAGCTTCTCCTGTTTCACACTGCTTCCTGGTTCAAAGATATGGTACCTCAGTGAAGGATCCCATCATTATTTATTATGCTTAGCCCAATTACGCTTCCCAGACTCCTCCTGCTGGATCTTGTGCAGATGAATGGCTGAGGATAAAGGTGTTGAAGTCGTCCCTATCCAGTGTAAGTTCATATATAATTGAGATATTCAAGTCTCAGATCCTTTCTAAGATTAGGAATGTTTTCTTTGCACATGAAAGGTTTTCCTTTGCATTGTGATGTATCTTTTCCATCCCTTCTGACAAAGTGTTTCTGGAGACTGCTTGGAGAGTAAAGACATCAGAGAAAAAAGGATCATAGTCTTAAGAGAGCTTACTATAGAGTCTAGTCCAGGGGTTGACAACCTGTGGCATATATGTACCACTAATTGTTTTTTATGTGTCAGACGATAAGGTTAAAAACATTAAAAAGTCTTTCCAAGGTTTTAAAGCAAGAACTTGAAAATATAAGTCTTTAGAGATTAAAAAAAATAAAAACAATGGAGGCATAATGGTGGAATAACAAGTGGTGGGGTTAGAATGTACAAGCTACCTGGGTGTAACAATAGGAGAAATAAAAAGAGGCTGGCAGACATGTACAAAAATATTCATAGCAGCTCTCTTTGTGGTGGCAAAGAACTGGAAATTAAGGGGATGCCCATCAACTGGGGAGTGGCTGAGCAAGTTGTGCTATATGAATGCAATGGAATACTATTGTGCTGTAAGAAACGATGAGCAGGTGGAGTTCAGAAAAACCTAAAGACTTGTATGGTCTGATGCTGAGTGAAGTGAGCAGAACCAGGAGAACATTGTACACAGTAACAGCCAATTGTGCAATGACCGACTTTGATAGACTTAGCTCTTTTCAGCAATGCAAGGATCTAAGACAAAAGTCTCATGATAGAAAATGATTAGAGTCTGAATGCAGACTAAAGCATACTATTTGCTCTTTTTTTCTTCTCTTTTATTTCTTCTTTCTTGTGGTTCCTCCTATTGGTTCTAATTCTTCTTTATAAGATGACTAATGTGAAAATATGTTTAATAGGAATGTATATGTAAAGCCTATATCAGATTGCACACCATCTTGGGGAGGGAGGAGGTAAGGGAGGGAGAGAAAATTTAAAACTCAAAAGCTTATGGAAGTGTATGCTGAAAACTAAAAATTAATTAATTAATTTAAAAAAAAGAAAGAGGCTGATGGAAAGCCCTCTCCTACTGCTTTCCTGCATCTTTTGACTCTATTTGGGAAACCCAAGACTTAGAAGTATTCTCCTAGGGTGTGCCTAACCTATGTTTCTGCTCACTATTTCCCTTGGGCCCTCTCAAGATGGCATCTCTAGAGGCAACTAGGTGGCAACCATGGCTAGACTGTTGGATTGAAAGTCAGGAAGATCTGAGTTCAAGTGTAGCCTTAAACATTTACTAGCTGTGTGACCCTGGGCAAGTCACTTAAACCTCTGTTATATAAACATAAAATGATATGTAAAATGGGGATGATAATAACAACTGCCTTGAAGGGTTGTGAGGTATGAGATGATAATGAGATAATAATTGTAAAGCTGTTATTACAGGCCTGACACATAGGAAGTGCTACATATGTATTATTAGCTGTTATTAATATTACGCTTACAAAGAGATGGGGTGGTAGATTTGGGAGTAGAAATCAAGATCTTCTGGCTCTGCATTCAATTCTTGTTTGTTCTTCCCGTTCCATGATGTTGCTTGAATTGTTTTATGTTGTCATTTGCCTGTTTCATCAATGTGCATACTCTCATCCAAGTAGACTGCAAA